ATATATATATATATACATAAGTACTTACCAATATGTGCGGTAAGTCATATCTTTTTATATTATTATGTACTTGTATATATATATATATATATATAATATTAGGTATAAGGTATATAATAGCCGTTAACTTGTTGTGCACGGACCTAGCCGTCGTGACGATTAGGCCACCGGACTTTTGGATGTTAAAAATAAAGGTTCAGAGTTTCAGACCTTCCTGCAACGTGCAGTTGCATTAAATCTATGCAAGTCAATATATGATTTTGGTATACACCACTAGTGCGTGGTCCAGTAGTAAATTTGTCTGCGGCGATGATGATAATGATATAATATAATATATATTTCTGCACTTTCACACCTTGAAACCTGTTGAACGCGACGCCGTGGATTTTCACGTACAAATACAGCCGCCCACTCATATAGYACATAATATCGAAACGATACAACATAATGCATAATAATAATAACAACAACAACAACAATAGTAATAACTAATAAGTAATAATAATCTTAGTAAATATTATAATATATATATATATAATTGGTATATAATATAATATGTATAGAGCGTATAAAGTATAAATATGATATACAACGTGCACGCATTAAGGCGGTTCTACCGGACGCATCTCGAGGACAAATCAAACTCAAACTGTACTCGGAGCGCTGTTATTATCACGGTATATATACATATATTATGTTCTTTCGCGCGAGCGCGTGTCTCCGCGACCGCGATCGGCATTCTTAACGCCGACGACGATCGCCGACCGTCTCGCCTCCTCCTTTTATTTAGCAGTGTATTACATTATATTTTTATTATTACCATTATTTTTATAGATCGCACCGGCTCGTCTCGCACGCCGGACGCACGCTCACCACACCGCCTTCGTGCATTTGTTTTCGTTATATTTTTGTGTACCTACCTATTATAATATAATAAACGTCGCGCGGTAGATAAAACCCGATTTATATGAGGCACGTGAACGAAATGCCAACGCGAAATGATATGAAAATTTTTATTTCAGATTAAATATTGTACCGAAGTAGAAATAGCATTCGTCCATTCCCTCCCCCCTCCTCAACCACTGTGCGGTGAACTTATAACGATTAAAACGTTGAAATTTACCGAGTATTTAAATCACCCAGATGTTCGTCGGTTTTTGACCATCGACGTCTGGATATTATGTGCACACATAGATATAACAAAGGTTAACGATATTATTTAATAGGATTATAATACATATATCGCTTTTACATACTCTTAAAAAATTATGRACTCTTCATGACAAAATGAAAATTAATATATAATAATGAATAGGTACGCTCAATTATCCTTATAATTCTAACATTTCGATAACGAATCTGCGAATGCACCTATACAACCTATATAAGTATGTAAAAAATGTATACCTATACACTCAAAGAGACGCTTGAATAGGCTTTTCGTCTTGAGATAATTTTATTGAGAGATACCCACGAACTGATTGTCACTGGAGTTTGCATTCGTGCAGTGACACACGTGAGCATAACGGGTCCGATCCGCGTAGCTTCACGGGAATTTTTCCTTCTCTTATTTTATTATTTCATTTTATTTTTTACCTCATTTCTTCATTTTTTCCCTTGTTTTTTTTCTCTGTTCTCATTCCTTCATGTTGGTTTCGTGTTATCAAACGCACACACACACAACGCGAGATGACCCGGTACATTGGAAGAATATCAAGCCACGATTCTGACCGGACCCGCGTGATCGAGATTTATACGCACACGCGCACGCCGCAGAGATGACACCCCACAGTGGTTGACCACTAGCGTCATCACGAGCTTCAATTTTCACACTTTTTCGTTTTTTTCGCAGCGTACTTATCCGCACGACTCGGGACATTTACATAAATACGGTCGTTACAATAATATAATATATATCCCATCCCGATAAAAGAAAAGCTATATTGTAATATGCTATATATAAATGTATATACCTACGTAATACCTACCTAGGTATAATGCACATGAACATTGAATGTTCTATAATATGTATGCGTGTGTCATCAACCTAAATAATACTAATACCTAGAGATAMCCAATCCACGAAAAATTAACAAACGCATTGGTGGAGATAATCTTATGTTGCCTTCACGTTGTTGCTAAAACTGTCTGAAAATAAAATTGAAAGGTTAATTTAGTATGAGATACGTGCRTATATGTGTGTATACCGCAGTACGAGTCGAAGAACAAATAAGAGCACAGCGCACTGTCAACGATCGTGGCAGGCCACCGGGATAGCGACAACTATTGACCGCTTGTAATGATTGTAATGACACGGTGACAAAGCGAAAATCTCCGACTTAAACACCTCAAGGGTTCTGAGTAACATGTACGGYGAAAGACAGCCGTCGAACATCAGTCTAAACTATTTGCATCGGTTCTAGTCTTAAACGTTAAACCATAATTTAATTACGTAGGTATTATATTATTATTTATGTAATGTAAATATCTGCMTATGCCTACATATTATAAAGTCGAAAATAAAAACCAAATTAGGCAAACACATCTGATGAAAACTGAATAAAACTAGTTTTTATTTGCCTATTAGATTATACGTTTTYGGTTTTATAACATAATACACCTTTACGATCTTATGTTTGATTTTGAAATATACGACAAATTATTACAAATATAGAAAGAAGTAAATCAGGTGAAATAATTTAGAAATATTCTATAAAAATATAATTACACATGTGAAAACTCATCATTAATAACAATATTTCTGTAATAATACTCACCTATGTGTCACTATTGTACAATAAAATATAATATTATCAGTAATTCTATAAATTCCATTGCACTTTTCTTTACAGAATTTAATCTAAGTGTAAATATGTTTTTTCAGACGAGGTGAATGACACCGTGGAAGGGGTTATGATTGGGATGGAGCTGGGTTTGGGGCACCATGGCGGCTCCTTGCACCCTCACAATATGCCACAACATCAAATGCACTCGCAAGGACTTATGCATCAGACACAACAGCAGATGCACCACGACGATGGTAAGTAGAAATATCATATAATATATAATTATTATCAATAATCATAGATTATTATTTCTTATACAAAACAATTTATTACATAATATACTAATAGATTAATTCACTAGTCATCACTCTTAGCAGTGTTATTATAATATTATTTTGCAGCTTTAACCATTAGAATTACGTTAATACGGGTGGGGGGGGGTATAAAGAAACATACCTACAACTATAGTAAAATTGTATAATATATTATACATAAGTATTTATCTACTTAATTAAAATATTTTATAMTCGACTTAAAAATCAGTCAATTGACACTATTTTTAAAATTAAATTCAGGGTAAAGCTGCGATTTACACAATCCGTAAAAAGATTGGTTACGAAATGTCTTGTAAACTTTTTTTTGTTTTTTTTTTTTTTCAGCTGGATCGGGAAACATTAGCAGCAGTAGCAGCGTCAATGGTTTTTCACAAGAAGGTAAGTGCACAAATAAAACAATATAATATCGTAGATAAATCGGACGAGTATACTCGCTTATAATTTAATACCGTTCTGGATTCACTGCGTATAACTCGTGATGATATTATATTATATTACGCACTGCTCAGTTCAAGCATGTATAATCGGGTAAGGATTACATATGACGTGACAACATCGAGTTAAAAAGAATTAAAATATACGCATTTATAGATTTTTACGCGTACCTACCAATATCTACTATACAATCAGTACCTGTATACTACACAATTACTATCATATGAATTAGTTTGTTATAAGTTATAACTTACCAACCTTCTCCGAAATGAATTAATTGTTTTGTGTATGSCTATATATTACTATTATATGCAACTACATGACTTTTAACAGTTTTAACCGACCCAATGGGTCTGAATATAACTACGGCGCTTTATGTTTCATGGCGTTTAAAATTAAAGATAATAGTACAGTCAAGTCACAATAACTCGAAGTTGAAGKGGGATACAAATTTGCTTATCTTAGTATTACMTAGATATTTGAGATACCTAACTTGAATCTATCAAAATTAAGTTCTAGGGAAATGTAAAAAAAAAATCGAGTTGTCAAGTTTTTCAAGTTATGCGCAACGTACATATCGTATMATAATAATACAATCCATGCAATCGTAATCTCCGGGCCGGTCGGTGATCGATCCGGTCGATCACGACTAATGTAATATAGCCGGGTGAAGTAGGCACGCGCGAAACATATATTATTATAATATAATACATATTCAGTCTATAGAGTCTATCTATAGTATAGACGATAGACCTATGTTCTCGTATAAAATAATATAGAAGGCGAGGCGGCCGATAAATTGTCGTCGTCGTCGCCGCCGCCACGTATGTTCTTATGTGCATACACATATCTATTTTTTAAACAATATATTATATGATTTTACACGCGCCGTGTTGGAAACGTTGGAATATCGTAGCATAATATAATGGAAATACCGTGTACGCCCGGGAGTGTGTGCGTGCGTATAGTGATGAACTAGACACGACTCGATTAATTCGCATGTAACATATGGGATGGAGTTGGACAACAGGTGTCGTCATTACTTATGAAAATCATAAGAGACCGTTACCGACGTACGACGGCGTTATGGTAGCACTAAATAGGTATTTATTCATTMATTTAATATATATATTCATATAATTAAATAATATTAAAATGTATGATGATACTGAATAGTTAATATGGACACAATTGAGTAAAATGGTAAATAGTATAGAAGGCAGACTTAGGTAGAAACAATATAGACGATATAGCGACGGCTTWTTATATAATACCTAATTCRTATAATATTATTATCATTACGGCAGATGGAGCAATAATAAAATAATCGTTTTCACTTTCTTTAGTAAAAAAAAAAAAAGAGTAATTAAAAAAGCGCTATTTTCTTCCAATTCGTTGAACACAGTGTTGTAATGCAGTATTATACATTTAAAGATAGGCATGTAAAGTTCGAWCGAGGCGGTGACCGTATAATTTCCAGAATTCGAATTTCGAACTATAATATAGTGACATACACCTTCATCGAACGTAGCTCGTATAAAGTGAAATGTGACCGTTGTACAACCACTTTTAGCGTCAACAAAGTCTACCGTTGTTGTCGTCCCCATAAGCGACCTCGAGAAACAAGACTGTAATATTGTAATCATACACACGCCCAATGGATTAATCGTTATAATATATTCCGATAATATGCTTGAATGGATAAATCCATAAAATGTAACGAGATATTTTTTTGGTAGAAAGTGATTTTTACGATCTTAACAATAATAATTACATTTATTTGTTATACGACTTTAGTTTGTTATTCCAAAATATAGTAAATAACATATACGTGTATAAAAACGAATATATCTATACCAATTATATCATCTGATTGATTTGTTTGCTGTAACTGTTCTCTACAGAATATAGATTGTTATTTATACTGTTCATACGAAATGTCGCAGTGTCGATTTTGTATTAATTTATTATAATCATAATAATATAGCATCCTCAACAGTATTAAAAACAAATTCAAACCAGGAGGATTATCGTAAATATTGTAAACACTGTATGCACAATAATTATCATCATAACTACAACTAATATCGTCACACTACAATTGTATTATAACTCAAATGTATCATCCCTGCAATAAAGTATAAACACAGACACACACGTAACAACTGTAATTACCATGACTAAAGGCCGTAGATACGGGGTTCTTGAGATCAATTAAAAAAAATTAATAGCATAATATTTGCGTAAGTATACCTATACTCTTCTCGTCCAGTTACAGTCGGTATAATATATAGGTACGCTAGCGGTATATTATATTAATAAAATGTATAACTACACGCGCCGAGGAATTTGCTCACAATGCCCTAGGTCAAGACTGCCGGTGGCTTATTGGTTATGATACACGAGACAGATACATTAATTGAACATATTATACAAACATACATATTATAATATTATACATATACACGTTGTAGCGTTATTATTATTATGTGCGTACACGTGTATATATATATATAGTGCAGCGCTGCTGATGCTGTTGCTGAACAGTAGTAGTTCCAGTTACGAAATTAGCATAGGAAGGCTAAAGTTTAGCGAAGGGTGCGGGTGAGTGCGCGGAGGACCGCAGGTGAATTATTCATGAGATCGTGCTCGGCGATTCGCCGGCGCTCATTGAGGGCCGTCTGGATTGATTAAACAACGAAAAGCTAAAGAGAGATAGAATAATATGGTGTGAGACAGAGAGCAGGAGAGAGATGTAAAGATATAGTAGGGAAAAAATTCTACGTTTAAATATTCATCATCACGACCGGACACACACTAGAGTATTAGCATGGACCAGTTATTAAATCCGGATCGCCGCTTAGTATTGTTTTACCGTGTCACCGACGACTAGGATTTTCTCAACTGCTTAGCAAGCACTTATAATATACATTCTAAACTCTATTTGCCTGTACACGTCCACCGTTCTTTCTCTTATCGTCCTCAGTGGCCAGTGCGATGACACACTCGTCATATTATGCTATCAAGTTATAGTCTTATTATTTTTTTTTTTTTTCAAACTACCTAATTAAAAACAAATTTTATCAGTAATTTTATTAATAAGACTGATGTCAGCTTAGAAAATGTAGTACAATATAGATATGGTAACCACCGATATCTTATGGCTCGTATGCATCACTTCGAAGCGTACAAGCCCATATCTCGGAAGATGGTGCTGCAGGTCTAGAATGTCCCCAAATATTGTAAATTGTTTCGGAGACTTAGAGTGCTCGTAAATACCCGCGAAACATGTTAGCCAAAAGAATAATCATACTTGTCATTAAACACGATCGTTTACATAATAAAGTAATAAATAGTATTTAAACCGTGGTTGAAAGTTTTTGTACTAATTGTTAAACTATTTTAATGACTGTACCTGACCTATACCTAGATTATCTTAACCCTTTATCCAGGATAATATACTTCTAACGTGGAGGCGGCAGCAGACATACATCTGAAAATCTTATTGTGTTTTTTATTATTATTATTACTAATGCCTTTGGGTTGTGGGAAATACGAAGCTAGACGACCGATCACAAAAAAATGGTCATCTCAAAATTAGAAAGCAAAAAAAAAATAAATAAAAAATAACCGTCGAAAGTCGTAATTATTTTTAACGGACATTTTTTACCATCTATTCGTACGAAGAAGCGTGCTTCCTCAAGAACAATGGGCGAAGATAATGAAAATAGTATGTTTTTTTTCCGTTGTACAGTAGTCACATTATATTATTACTGTATACACTCTACGTGTACGTATTATACAAGTATACGTGTGTGTGTGTTACATATTATTATACAATGTGTACAGTGGTGGGTGTATTTCGCGTCCGTTGACGGCGGCGGCGGTTGAGAGAGCCGCGCATCTGCCCCCCGCAACGGTTTCACCACATGTCGTACACCGCTACTACACCCCCGCCGCACTGACACCACAGGTCCCACCCGCGCTCGCACTTGTTACGCGGCCTTGTCATTAACGTGTAGTTGATTGCGTTTTAAATCGTCCGATTGTGTCAAACACCCCCGAAATCTTCCATTTAACGGCTCGCCGCCRAGAAACGTATTTTTTATTATTATTATTTTTAACCGTTTTCTCGGAGACGTTTTTAACGTACCTTTTTACATAATACGTTAGGTATGCATTTTTTTTTTTTTTTTTACTCAACAGGCCTTACACAAATGTAACGTACCGACGTATATTTATAAGACTATAAGGACAAGTGCGTATCATTTTTTTTCCCCAAAAAGATATGAATAGTTTGACCATTCGGGTATATTATAATAACCGTTGACAATTATATTATTAGTATAAGGCAGATCTTGCAATATAATAATAATTGAGCGATTTTCGAACATTTTTTACACGTGTAAGGAACATGATCTGATGTTCTGCTGCGACCAGTAGGTATAATATTATAATATACCTATATAACCTATAGGTCGCGTATACATATTATCGTTTATGTTATGTTATTATTATTACTACGATATAGGTATATGGTTTTATTGGATTGACGTGGTACAAGTTTTTCGCTCTCGGGACGATAAAACGATAACGTTTTTACGATGTGTAGGTATATGCGGACCGACTTCCGCGTCGATTTCGTGTGTTCGCGGGTGATCGGTAAACATAAAAAATATAAAAATATATCTCCGCATATATTATTATTATACATAATATGCATCGTTTCAAAACATTGACCTAATCATGTTTGCATGAAAAATTTCAAACCATCACGATTCAAACGTAACCCGAGGAGGTAATAGTTGTAGCGATGTTATAATATAGGTGCAACGTATGTAGGTACAAGAGAAGGTCGCGGCGTTTTTCTATTAATTTTAGTTTTATATGAGCGAATCGAATAACAATATATGTATAACTGTGATTAAAACGACACGTATAAG